CCCAATTCCTCTCCTGCAGAACTTCTCCCAACCTGTGATGTGACTCTCCAAGGGCCCGCAGCTATGCCCTGACTTTCAATTTCGTTTCACAAGGCAAATTCAAGGGCAAGTGCTCCACAGAACACACAGGGGGAAATACTGCTCTGGAGGCCATCAGGGCAAAGCTGGTCTGGGGAGAGGGCACCCCAGTGGGGAAACTGTCACAGCCTCAGGGGAATAGGTCTGTGATCACTGGGCTGGGGATAACAGGAGTGGAATTCATCCTTTCTCAAGGGACACTAGACAGCCATGCACGGCCACCAAACTTTCTACTTGCGCTAGGCCTGCAGCTCCTGGAGCCGCACAATGCAAGGCTCATCCACTCTCTTCCCCACCATCAAAGCACTAGCCAAACTGCCAAGCTCCCCTCCACGTCCACATCCATGCCCACGGAGCCTTCCCAGGCTCCCCCTCCCACCTGCCAGACTTGGACCAGCCAAGAGTCATGAGCCCAAACCTCAGTGTGACCCCTAACTGGATGCTTGACCCAAGGATGATTGACTCCAGGGTCTACAGGTCTCCTTTGGTTCAAAAGTTCTATTTGTTGTAGTCAGTGCCCTTCCAGGGTCAAAAGTTCAAGGACTCAAGGAGAAAATTTTAAACTTGCCACCTTGTAAAGACTTGAGAGCTCCCACTGACAGGCCTGCTAAGTGACAGGCATTTCCTGAGTGGTATATACGCAGTACTTTCCCTCCTTATAAGAAACCTACAAAGGAAGCATCATCACACTCTTCTTACAGGTGAAGACAAACAGCTGAACAGAGCTGCCAGCCACAGATGCCCAGGTAACAAGCGTGGGCTCCACGATTTGCACTTGGGTCTGTCTGACTGCAGTGTCCCTACGGGAGCGTGCATTTCCACAGGGAGAGCCAGGAACAAGGAGAAAAAGCTCTCAGGACAAGGAAGGTCACCTGCAGCTCCCTGGTGCCTGGGACCTGAGTGCTCTCCAAGGCCACCCTAAGCGATGCCATCAAAGCGGAGCATCTGAAGGTCGTCCAGTGCCGCCGATCTCCAGGATGAGATGAGACACAGGGGCCAATCTGGAATCAAGAATTCTGAGGCTCTGAAGCTCCAGCCCTGATTGGATGCGCCAGGCCAGACCCTGGGTAATCACCGAGCCGTAATGGGATCTGATGTTTATATTAGTCACGAGCCTGACAGAGAAAACGTGTTGTTTTCTCAGACACAGCCATGGAGACAATACCTCCATAATTCATTACGTGCAGACCAGACTTAATCGAACACAAACTTCTACAAGGAGGATGGCTTGAACGGAGAACAGGATGAGTCTATGCCTGGCCACGTGAGGCCCCTCCCAGCAAACCACACCACCATAGGAAACTGGCCTCAGTTTCCCCAGTCATTTAAAGAAAAGCAGCCTGTGGGCTGGAAGAAGAGCAGAAGGTGGAAATAGAGACACATAAGCATTCTGAAGCTGGAGAATTGCAACATGTGTTCTGAGCTAGAGACTTTACCCATAGATCACCAACTCCTTCTACTGTCCTCCCCTGAGTCCCGGGGCAGGAAGGGGCACTAACACTCAGAGAACTCAAGCCCATATTTCACACAGCAGGAAAGACACCAGAGAGACTAAAACCACTCCTTCAAGGTCACAACCTTATTGAGGCTGCCAGAGCAGCTCCTTGTTCAGTACAGTCTGCGGCTGACTTCGACCTGGAAACGTCACAGCCAAGTGAATGGAGGGCTCTGATGAAACCCATCAGAGAAAAAGACCATAATGTGAAAAAGTACAGCAAAGAATATAGTACCGGAATGACTGTGCCCAAGTTCCAAACAGCAAGAAAATGGGATTCTTTTTTTGTCTTTTGTTTCCTAAAGAAGTCCACGTGCCATTCTTTTCAGAACAGTGAAGTCATTCACGATTTGAGATTCGGAGGTCAGAGGGACTAAGGATGAGATGCCTCTTGATGTACACCCAGTTTCAGGTTCCTTTGATCAAAAAGGATAGTACAGTCAAAGAGGCCAAATGCTGTGATTCCAGAGCCCCGGCTGAAGCTTATTCCCCGAGAGTTTCAGATGTGAAAAAGACCCTAGCTCCAGGTCAGACCATCTTGGGGCTAAATCAGGATAAGGGTGAACATATCTGAGGGCTGGTAGAATACTGAGGAAAAGCAGCCTTGGTTTGCTTGGAAAACCCAGCACTAAAATAATTATTCCAAACTGAAGCCAAATGCATTCTTCTGAACGGCATCTTGACAACTACTAAATACTTGGAAAGCAAAAAGAATGAAGGACAAAGAAAAAAAAAACAGACTGCAGTAAAAATACAGACCTCAAGGGTAGAAAGATAGTTTATAAAGTTTATAAAAGGCCTAAGTAACTACTATTGGGCAAAATGAGATGGCTACACACACTTGTTTAATTGAGCAAATCAAGGGGCAGTGATTCTAGGCATGTTTTTAAAAAGGACTCTAAAGACACAAAAAGTAACCCTATCTCATTCTATACTGGCCTCACATCTTCCCTACCAACTGCAAGCAATCTCTTGTCCCAGGCTGCTTCTTTGTAGACACTTCCGGTTATGTCAACTTGGCATGCATTGGAGCTTCAAAATATAGCCTGATATAAAGGGATTGTTCTTTTCTAATGACTGCTGCCAAAAAACTATTTTCTTGAGAAAACTTACAGAAGTTATGCTTGGTCATCATTTAGGAAAGAGACTCTTTACATGAAACATCCAATCAGCATTTCATCACAGGCACTGCGGTAGTACTGATGTACCTCCTAGAGTAAAAAGACTTCAGAAGCTGCGTTTAAAACCCCAGGATCACAAAAACACTGAAACTTATTTTCACTCACTGAAAAAAAGTTCTCAGTATGATCAAGCCTGCCCAGTTCCTGAAAGATAAGGAGGTTGTTTAAAAGTTCACTAAAACCAGTCTAGAAAACATCTGAGATGCGTACGACTCTTTTCTTCCCCCCAAGGGTAGTCACAGAATCTCCGTAAAGGAAAAACATTCCCAGACTGAAGACTGCTGGGGAGGCAGCGGAGAGGGAACGTGTGAATAAGAAGACTCTATGAATAAGCGTGGGTTTTCCAGGTGGCTCAGGGGTGAAGCATCTGCCTGCAATGCAGGAGACGCGGGTTCTATCCCTGGGTCCGGAAGGCCCCTGGAGAAGGAAATGTCAACCCCCTCCAGTATTGTTGCCTGGGAAATCCCACGGACAGAGGAGCCTGTCGGGCAACAGTCCATGGGGTCACCACAAGAGAATCCGACAAATTTAGCAACTAAACAACAACAACATGAACAGGCACCCAGTCAGGAGGGCTAGGCAAGAGGCCAGGTCTAGGGGGGTCTCAGGGTTAGGATCTTGGGTAACCTGCTGGCTTCTCTGGAATGTAGGAGGTCTTCCACCTTGCCAAGTAAGGAGAAACCGCTATGGCCAAGAAGGTAACTCCAGAGAAAACTGGCTGGCTAACATCTGGAGGTCTCAGAGAAGTAGGAGGAGGGATTGGATGATGGCTTTTCTTTTTCTCCCTTATTTCCAACACATCAGTATTTTCCAAAACACAAATGTGCTGCCACAAAACACAGCTGAGCCCCAGTACCCAACAGGATGTATAATTAATGATCAGGAGAGAAAGCGAGGGCTTCCTTTCACCCTTGTGTTGTCACCCACAGCCCCTGTCCTAGCTACTCCCTCCCAGAAGCACTTAAGGAGGCTGCTACAAGTTGCTGTGTTCTGTGGAAGTTTGAGGGGTCCTCGGACTAACTTTATTAGAAAAGACGTGAGCATTCCCGCCGAGATCTGCGTCTACCTTGCACCGTTCACCGTCCCTCTCCGATCCCCCCTCCCTCTGAAAACGCTAGCACTGGTTAGACCCCTTGATTAAAAAGTGGTCTAAACAGAAAGCACCTCGGTCACTCTTTTTTTTTTTCCAGTTCTTTATTTTTTTATCCTGCAGTTTTCTATGAAAAGCTGCCCCCCGCACCTTCAGCCAGTTGTGGCGGGGGGGGGGGGGTGGAGAGAGGACATCTCTAGGGACACGACGCGACAGACCAGGCAGCCAGCCTAGCAACAGTGCATAAGGTGTAGGGAGCCTGGGTGCTGGTGGGCGTCTCTGCGCCAGGAATAGCCGACATCCAGCCACCTCAACAACGTCGGGGAGGAGGCTCGCGTGAGAACCGCGGCCTTGGCCGGCTCTCGGTGGTCCACCCCCCCGCCCCCCGCTCCAGCGCCACGCTGTCGGTGGCATTTTCGCGGACCTAAAGGCGGTGGCCTGGGGGCGAGAACACAGATGCTGAAGAACTTGGAGCGGGGGTCAGTTCCAGAAGAATATCTAAGAGTCACAGAGGGAGGGGACGTCAGGCTTCACACCTCGCTACATTCCTGAAAGTGGGATGCTACTCCTCAACTTTCTCTCGCCCCTCCAGGTGCCCCACGCCCTCTGGCCACGTTCCTCCCTCGGGATTCCCTAGTTCCAAAAGATGTCCTCCCGTGCCTATAGGATTTTCCTTTTCTGATTCCACCTCCCCAACAGGTTTCTAAAGTGCGGGCTGACGTGCTCCCCCTCGCCCACCACAAGGAGCCCAGCCCGGGCAGGTGAGCCGCGAGGAAAGCGCACCCACGACCCCCAGCTTGTTCGGTGCCCACCCGGTCGGCTCTCCCTAACTCCGCACCACCGGCTCCGAGCGGCGCGGGTCCCCCATCTCGGCCCCAGCCGCAGCCGCAAACAACCCTATAATAAATTAAGAGGTCGGGATGGGGCGTCCGCGTCCCGGAGCGCATCGGTTGGGGGCAACTCCTCACCCCCGGTGCGCCGGCCGCTGCCCCAGTCGGCGAGCGCCAGGAGAACGGAGGGACGGGAAGACGGCGAGGGGCAGGCAGGCAAGGATGGAGGGAGGCACGGCGCGCTGAGGAGCGAGGAGGTGGGCTGCAGGGGACGCCGAGAAGCGGCGGGGCTGGCGCAGTGGGGAGGCGCCCGGTGCGCGCGTTACCTTCGTTTTGCCCCCGCAGTGGCAGCAAACGGTCCACAGGTACTTGAGCGTCCTCCAGAGCAAGATGATGAAGAGGCCGCCGAAGAAAGTCACCATGGAGGAGGCCAGGAAAGCCCACCACATGCGTTGGCCCCGGCTGTCGCACGGCACCTCCATGGTCACCGGGATGATGAGCGCATCCATCTTGGGCTCGTGGACCGAGGACGAGGAGGAAGAGGAGGAGGAGGAAGAAGAGGAGGAGGAGGACGCGTCTAGGCTGAGATGGTTCGCGTGGATATTGCTGCTCATTCTAAGACTGCTGCCTCCGCCGCCGCCGCCGCCGCCGCCACCATTTGCCATAGCTAGCAACGGGCAGCCGGCGCAGGGGCTCGGGGGAGCTCCTCCCGCCGCCGGCACCACCCCGAACACCCATCAACAGCCATATTGCTGCTACTGCTGCCGCCGCGGAGCGCGAGAAGGGGGCGGGGAGGCGCCTGGGCTCGGGGCGCTGTGCGCGACCTGGCGGGGTGCGCGGAGATATATACAGCGGGCCGCCGCCGCCGCCGCCGCCCGCCCTCCCTCCCCCCGGCCGCCCGCCCGTCCGGGGGGGAGGGGGACGGAGCGCGCGGGCAGATCCCCTCCCAGGCCCGCGCCCCGCTCGTCCCGGGCTGCGCCGGCCCCAAGCGCCGAGAGCGAGGGGGCGCCGCGGGCCGCCGGCGCCCGGGGTCTGCGCCGACCCCGGGCCCGCCCCGGCTCTGCGCGCCGGCCCGGGTGCCCTCGGCTCCGCGCCGCGCCGCCCGCCGTGCGCCACGCGTGTGCGCCGCGCTCCGGGCCGGGACCCCTCCCCGCACGCCGCCCGGGCAGCTAGCCTGCCGCTCTGGGCTTATTAGGCGGCAACTCGTTAATAATGTCTCATCAGCCCCCTCCCGGGTACCCCCACGCCAGCTCCTCCTCTCCCGGCTGCGCTCTGTTCTCTCTCTCCGCCCCGGTGTGCGTCGGGCCGCGGCAGGTTCACCGCGCCTGGCCCGCCGCCGATGCCCCTAGCCCATGCTCCCGGGATCCCCGAGCCGCGTCGCCACGCCACTGAGCCTCCTCGGCCTTCGTTCGATCTTCCTCCCGGCTTGCTCAGGCTCCTCCTCGTCCCCGTCCTCGCCTCCCGAGCCTCTTCTGCGCGCTCTCCGCGCTCCCCGCAGCCGCCAGCAACAGCAGCTGCAGCAACTGGAGCCGGCGCGGGCTCAGGCCGCCCGAGGCGGGAGGGGAGGAGGCTCGCCACGCTGGCTCGCCTCGGCTCCGGGCTGGGCAGGGGGCCGGCAGACCCCTTGGCGGCGGCCTGGCACGCACCCCTGAGCCCCAGTGCGAAAGGTACAGAGCCCCAAACCCAGGCGCAGGACCCGACACCTCTCTCCAAGGTGCTGCGCCCCCAGCCGAGCGCCCTGGCGCACCCGAGGAGGATCGTCGGGCGCCCGGGGCAGGCCGATTTCCCCAAAGCGGACCACTTTGAGGAGGGAAGAAGTAACCAGCTGTTGATTGCACAGGCCGGACGCCCCAAGATTCTCGGGCTTCGGGAGTGAGGAGCACCCTTCTCCAGGATACACACCCTGGATCGACCCCTATCCATCCCTCCAGGCTCTTCCCTGTCGCCAATCCTAGGTGCCCCAGTCTCCCGTGCCAGCCTGGCGGTGGTCTGTGGCCTTTGATAGCAGCAGCTGGTAGTTTTTATTTGTTTGTTTGTTTTTGCCTTTTCCTTATTAAGCGACAGAGGCTGCCTAAGAAAGTAGCCAGAGATAGGCCGGGGAGACCTGGTCTCAGGGACAGTGAGAGCTCCTAGAGACAGCAGAGTTCCCTAAAGTCACTCTGCGTTTATCCAGCCTCAGCCTCCATCGTGTGAGGAGCACAGCTCAGGTTCGGTTCAAGGCCATCTCTCCCCACTTAGGATTTTCCCTTCTCCCCACTTAGAGGTGAAGAAGGCATCCGGGTTTGTTCAGCAGCCTCTGTGCCTTACCACCAGGGGAATTCCCCTCTGATGCTCCCTCTGCACTCTGCCTTTCTCCTGCTACTAGCTGGACCACAGGCTTTTCCAGCGCTAATTAAAAGGGAGATGATCACACTCTCCCCTCATTGCCCACAGTGGTTTCCCCAAAGTTTCCAGCTCATTAGTTTAAGCTTAATTGGAATTCTCAGGTTCCTGTCAGCCCTTCCTGTGGTGAAGGCCAAGTTAGCATCCTTCAAGGTTTAGGCCTGTGCAGTTTCTGCCTGAGTCAGAGCTCAGCCCCTCCCCTTGCCCTTGGAGGCCCTAGGATGCAGGGCAGGCTGGGGTAGGGGAAGGCAAGCTGGGCAGAGAGGTTCAAGGCGGGTGTTTGGAGCTTCCTTCCCTGCTCTATTCAGAACACATTTATTGGGCTTGGGACCCACATCCATTAGAAAAGTTCTCTGTGTTCAGAAACTACTCTGAACACGTTCCTGCTGCACCAGTCCCGTGCACACGCAGAGGCCCTGGGTCGTTTCCAGCACTGGGCTGCGGGTGTCAGCCCCAGAAATGCTGTGGGGATGTGCAGGAAGGTGGTCACTGCCCAGAGGGTCCTTGATTTATTGAGTTGGCCAAAAAGTTCATTTGGGTTTTTCCCAAACTTTTTGGCCAACCCAGTATTAGCCTTCTAAGTGGCTATATTTTGCTGCCTCTGGATCTCAGCATACCAGGAAAGTTAAGGACTTTCCTCAAGTTTTAGATTTAAAATTTAAAAACAAAACATATAAGGATGAAAAGAGCAGCCAAGGATAGAACTGTCTCCCCAGTGGAATATGAAACCCCCAGGATGGATTCCCTTTCCTCACATAATTAAGCTTCTACAGACCAATGAATCCCCTTCAGGCCTTGCTGGACTTTCCCCATAGCCTGGGTTCCCCTCAGACACCAGCCAGGGGCCTAGCAGCAAAAGGCCACCGGTTGCTTTGACTTCTGTCACCCCAACTGCAGAATCCTCACTGGGTTTCTCCTCCATCATCACCTTCATCATCTCATCATCCTTCCAGAGGGTGCTGGGGGGCACCTGAGGCATCATCTCCTCTGCATTCTCCATCACTTATCATCCCTGTGCTGATTAAAGCTTTTCGCAGTTTCTGTGTTACACACAACCTAGACTAGGCTCACCATCAAAGTCAAGATCCTCCTCTTCCTACAATCTCCAGTCCTCACCACCTCCTGGCTGGTGGGCACCAAATGAAAGAGTGCCTCCATCCACCAGCATCCACCAGAAACAGACCTCACTGGGCCATGGCTCAGCTCTCTCACTACTTCCTTACCAACCACAGATTTCAGAAAACCTGGCACCTGGCCCCACCAACTTAGACCTCACACTTAAAGGGAACCTCAAGTACCCCTTCATTCATTGTGTTTTCTCATTTGTAAACTGGAATAGCAACAGGAACTGCCCTGCCTATCTCAAAGGATTGTTTGTAAGGATGAATAAAACAACATACAGACCTTTGTGTAGATGTTTCACCTCTTGTAGGTAGGTCTGCAGGCTGGGAATTGAGGGCCAATGAACAAGAACGAAAAACCTTTACAAAAGTAGAATTCCAACCTCTCCCATTCTGAAAATAATACTGTGACCCAAAAACAAACAGCCAAACTCCGATCAGAGCTTCTGAACCCTAAGCCAGTCCCTCTGTGTGTGTGTGTGTGTTGTGGGGGGAATGTGGACAAAATTGTCACTCCCTGACCCACACTTCTGTGCTGCATCCCACGGACCCTCAGCTTGGTTGACAACTGAGGCGCAATGCCTCTGCCCTCTGCCGCAGTCATTACACAGCCGCCCATATGGCCCCCGACAACTGGGCGTGGACAGGTTCCACGGCATGGCAGGACCACTCCGGGGGTGATGGGCCCTCTGAACCCTGACATGCCCACCCGCTCCCCACCTTTCCGCTCCCTGGGACAGCCTCAGGAATGCGAGAGCTACAGAGAAGCACCTACAATTTGCCCCAGTGAATTCCACCTCTTGTAGGTACTTCTGCAGGCTGGGAATTGACGGCCACTGTACAAGAAGGAAAAGTCTTTGCAAAAGTAGAAATTCCAACCTCCTCCGTTTTGAAAACAATACAAGCCGCCTATTTATTTTTCATCACATTTATAAACTTCCCGGTAAGGAAGGCATCCTCTTCAGGTGTGAACGTGTGTCCTTGGAAGCTTTCAAAGCAAGTCGGGGCTTCACGTTTTCTAAATTATTCCAATCTGAACAATCCCAACTGATTTAAAATAAATAAACAAAAGTGAATAAACAAACTAAAAAGACAGAGAAACTTAAGTAATAGCCAAGGAGAACAAAGAAGCTTATTTACTTAAATGTAGACCCAACATCATAATAAATGTACACTGGATTTCATTTTTTTCAGACCCACTTCCCATAGTTTTTTCAGACCCACTTCCCATATTCAAGTGTAAATTTGAGTGATACTGCTCCAGGGAAGTCAGATGGGCTCTGCAAGGGATTTAGCTCCCTCTGGTGGCTCTTTCTGGCAGCACATGACATTATTTTGTTTCAGTTCGAAAAGGGGGCTTATTAAAACAGAAATTTAACATATTAAAATCCAAAGAGAAAACTCCAGCTGTAAAAATCTACAACCACAATAATATTAATTATCCATCTGTCAGTCTTAGTAGCATATACACTGTTGTGTTAAAGATGTTAATAGAGCTTACATTGTTACCATGATTTCTAAGCTGTAACTACTACTGGGAAAGTGTTCAGTTCAGTTCAGCCGCTCAGTCGAGTCCGACTCTTTGCAACCCCATGAATCTCAGCATGCCAGGCCTCCCTGTCCATCACCAACTCCCAGAGTTCACCCAAACCCATGTCCATCGAGTCTGTGATGCCATCCAACCATCTCATCCTCTGTCGTCCCCTTCTCCTCCTGCCCTCAATCTTTCCCAGCATCAGGGTATTTTCCAATGAGTCAGCTCTTTGCATCAGGTGGCCAAAGAATTGGAGTTTCAACTTCAACATCAGTCCTTCCAATGAACACATAGGACTGATCTCCTTTAGGATGGACTGGTTGGATCTCCTTGCAGTCCAAGGGACTCTCAAGAGTCTTCTCCAACACGACAGTTCAAAAGCATCAATTCTTCGGCACTCAGCTTTCTTCACAGTCCAACTCTCACATCCATACATGACCACTGGAAAAATCATAGCCTTGACCAGAAGGACCTTTGTTGGCAAAGTAATGTCTCTGCTTTTTAATATGCTATCTAGGTTGGTCATAACCTTCCTTCCAAGGAGTAAGCGTCTTTTAATTTTATGGCTGCAGTCACCATCTGCAGTGATTTTGGAGCCCAAAAAAAGAAAGTCTGACACTGTTTCCACTGTCTCCCCATCTATGTCCCATGAGGTGATGGAAAGTGTTAGTCATGTCCAACTCTTTGTGACCCCATGAACTTGTAGCCTACCAGGCTTCTCTGTCCATGGAATTCTCCAGGCAAGAATACTTTAATGGGTAGCCATTCCCTTCTCCAGGGGATCTTCCCGACCCAGGGATTGAACCCAGGTCTCCTGCATTGAAGGCAGATTCTTTACTGTCTTAGCCACCAGGTAACCCATCACTCCTTAAATTACCGTTGTGTTAAAATACTATTTAACTCACCTTCCTTACCTTAGTCTTTATAATCTCTTTGTAGCATCAGGACAGTGGCTATTCTCCCATTTTACAAGCAAGGAAACTGAGGCTTAAATCTATTGAGTCATCACAAGAAAGAATGTACTTTTGGAGAAATTTATCTCTTTGTGACTTATAGCAAAGGGATAGGACTACTGCAGCACATCCTGTGAAACCATACTTAAGGGCCTTTGAATACCGAAAGGAAGCACTGGTCCCCAGGATGGAGAGAGGGACTCAGATAGAGCTTTGGAAGGGTTTGTTTACTATAAATTTTTTTTCTACTTTACTATAAGTATCTTTTTCTACTTATAAGAAAAACTCGGACCCCTAAAGTTTCATAAAATAATATAAAATTCATTTAGAATGATCACCATCAACAGGTAACCATTATTAATATTTTTGTATATTTCTTTCACACATTTTCTTGGGTGTGTATTTTTGCAAAATTAGGGTTAGATTGAACATCTAATTTTTATTCTATTTTCCCTTAACATTAAATTGTAAGCATTCTCCTCTGTGTCATTAAATGTCATAGAAAATATTTTGTTTTTTCATGAAGTGTTCGGTATTATATGTTGCAGCTGCAAATCTGCCCTCTGAGGTTTTCAGTTCTTAATGACAGCAGAGATTTTGGGTACAGGGTGGAGTTAGACTGACATGTGACTGATGAGGTGCAAGTGTGAGTCTGAGGGCCATGGAACACAGAATTTTCCCAAAGTACCTTAATTACAAGAAAACATTTTTTTTTTAAAAATTGAATCATATTCTATTTCATGGCATACTGATGACATTTAGGTTATTCTAAAACTTTATCTTTTTAAATAAGTCCTAAAGTTTTGTCAGTGATTCATACAAGTCAAAAAGATGCCCTGAAGATTTCTATGGGCATTCTTATATCATAGATCCAGTGCCTGTCTTCCAGATGGGGGCATGTCCAAGTCAACCTACCTGTGAGCTACTTCCCAG